CCAGCTTACCAGTGATAGCGTCATGCTTGAGGGAGGCGGCGGTTCCTCTGCTCTGATGAGAGTATAAAGTTATAAAAATGCGGTATGAAAGTATATCCACTTTGTTCCTCCTAGCGAGGCCTTTCCTGTTGTGTTGTTATCGTAATCGGTCGAGGCTAGGCTGGGGCATGTTATTGCAGTATATAATTTCTGATGACTTTACGGATTCGTGGAGCGCAGAGCTCTCAAGGAGATTTCGGTGGCTCGAGAGCAGCTGGTTTAGGCTCATCTTCGCATTTTTCGATACAGTAGTAGCTGCAGGGGCTGTTGGTTCATGTTGCCTTATATGTGATCGGCATCCTGAATGGGTAGTAGCCGTTGCCTCTTAGTGTTGGAGGAGTTACGCCACCCGGAAGTGACCACCTAGGAGCTGGCCAAGCTTTGCCCCCTAATGGCATGGTCCTTAAACCTCCAACGCCTCATCAGGTAGGGTCTACCCTGGTAGTGGGTGAGGGATGCCTCATGCAGGTCCCATGGCCCTACGACCTACAGTGCATCCTTAGGCTACCACTGGACATAGCGGAACGGCTGCGGCCTGTATTGGAAGAGGTCAGTCTAGATGTGGTGTTGGACGGTGAGTGAGTTTATAGGGCTATTCGAAGCAGCTGGATGACGTTATTGATATCACTCCAGTGGATAGGCCTGTGGAAGGTGAAAGGAGTCGGGCATTTGCGGTAAAGGTAATCCGAGATGGCTGTGGACTTGGAGGCTTTGGAGGTACTATTGAGTCAGGCATTCGAGGAAACTCTGTCGGGAGTGTTGTTGGACATACCGACATTTGTGGAGTCGTTCAAGTCACCCAACAATCACGTATTCACTAAGACGGCGGATGTTAGCCAGATGCTCGTGGCCTTCCGTGGGACGTGGTCAGAGTATAAACAGCGGTTACAGGAGCAGGGAGTTGAGGTGGGTGCTTGGAGTGTTTGAAGTACTAACCAATCGCAATAGTTGGATCCGGAGTTCCCACTGACCTTGCGTGATGGTCTGACGCCTCCAACGGTTCGGATACGGCAACGAAAATGGAGACAGCCTCCTAACCCTGACCAAGCAGTGAGGTAGTGAGAGCATGCTATAGCTTGATAGCTGTGTAAGGCGAACGTATAGGAACGCGAGAGCTGAGGAGCAAATCATGAATGTCAATAAAGGAGGGCATTTGGAATGGACAGAGGAGGCCGACGTTGCAGCCTCGGAAATGCGGGAAAGGGAGGAGAATGAGCCTAGCAGCATCTGGCGGCCCACAGATGAGATCATCAATACGTTGAATGTATTTCTCTGTCTTTTGCCGCTGCTCAAGTTGGCCATCAGGCGACTGGACTTATGCCTTCTTTACCCCCTGGAATGTCTTCAGCCAGTCTGTCATCATTTGCGATGCAGGATGGTGCCGGCAGCTATTCTGCATTTGACGCGACGAGCAAGGGGTAGGAGGTGACGCTGCGGGCAGTTTTATTGCTGTTTTTAGAAGCCGTGCCACTAAGAAGAGTAAAAGACATCATCATAAGAAGAATAAGAAGCACAAGAAGGAAAGTAAGGAGGAGGATGAGGCCATTGCAGCGTTCAAGAATCGATAGTGTTTCTACGACATTTCTACTGTGTAGAGTTGTTACTATCGCGGTGTTTTGAAGGGATTGTTTGTCGAGGTGTAAATATGCGTGAGGCCAGCGATATCAGACAGTGTGTGGAGGAGCCGATTCAAGTAAGAGTTCTCAGTGGGATAGCTGTTGCGAGTTTCGGTGAAGGTTCGCCGTTCGAGTCTGAGGCTGAAGGAAGCTCAACGGATGCAGCTTATGGATGAAATGATCCAGGTGACTAGGGTGATGGGAAGTCCTAAGAAATTGTCATCAGGATCATTTGCGTCGAAATCCGAAGATTTTTAAGCCTGAGGGCGTCGCCAGGGATTGGGAATTTCGTGGGGCAGTGAGGAAGCTATTCGGCATCATCTACCACAAGACT